CAACCCTATTATCTAGCTTGGATCCATCCGTATAAAAATTCAGTTCCCACCTCCTCCATGGTCTTGGTGTTTGCCATTCTCTTCTTGACGGGATGCTCGTCTTAAAGAGCCTATCGAAGGTTGGTTTAGGGGCGGAGTAGTCCACTTTTTGTTCGTAACTACCCAGAGTGTGAAGTATAGAGGCGCGACCGAACCGCTGATCCTTCCATAGCGCCATGCTTTTTAGTCTGAGCGCTGAATCGGCGGCCGCGTATTTTCACACCAGGTTTATTTCGGGCAAATTGGTTACCGCCTCTAGCGCCTTGTTTGGGGTAGTCCTTAAGGCACCTGAAATGCATAAAAACGCTGTTCTTTTGACCTTACTCAATAGGTTTAGATAACTTGCCTTTTGAGTTGCTGGCTACAATACACGTATTCCATATAATAATATTGGCCTGACCACCGAGGTGTAAAGCCAATGTGTATACTCTCTGTCCAGTTTCTAAGCGTGGCCATGTTAGAGCCCACAATCTCTATTATTTTGTATTTGGGTATTTGCTTTTGGGTATTTGGGTATTTGCTTTTAGCGGCAATTGCCAGATCATCAGCATATGTAGTGACGTGGCAACCCTCTAGTGCCTTCAGCAGGGAGTTTACTGCCACATTCCAGAGAAGAGGGGAGAGAACCCTTCCCTGAGGAGTATCTCTACAGACCTCTCTGCTTATTGCGGTGCTTAGGTGTTGGTGGTCAAGCTTAGCGGTTATCTTCCTGCTGACANAGAGTTTACTGCCACATTCCAGAGAAGAGGGGAGAGAACCCTTCCCTGAGGAGTGTCTCTACAGACCTCTCTGCTTATTGCGGTGCTTAGGTGTTGGTGGTCAAGCTTAGCGGTTATCTTCCTGCTGACAAGTATAGACTCAATCATCGCCGCTACGTTGTGGTCAACTCCAAGCTCTTCTAAGGCACCCGTTATAGCGCTTGCATTAATGCTGTTGAAGGCGCCTTCTATATCAACAAAGGCAACCAGAGTATATTCTTTATCTGCCTTGGGTATGAAGGAAACTTTTGTCTCTCTCGAGCCTAGCGGAATATAGACCATGTTAAGACAGTTTCGTATAATAATCGCAATGAACTGGGAGATAATGCCCCGTGATTGCTGCAGTTCTACCGGGCTAACATAAATATCCATTAGTAGGTTTAGGTATTTAGTGCTAACGCGTGTGGGTGGCCAAGGTATATGTTTACAAATGGAGGTAAGCGCAAGAGCTAAAAAGGGATGCAAACTCTCACGTACAAATGAGTTTCTGGTAGTTTTTCCAAACAGTATTAAGGAGCTAATAGAAGCTCGTCTCTAGAGGCTACCAATATTTCTATAACCATTAAGTGATTTGACTAGTAGTATTCTTGCAGGGATACTTCTTTGGCTTGCCTACACCTTTGTATGTATTGGCATGAAATTTTATTGGCCAAGTAAACACTTGAAATAATCTGCAATCTTTGATCGAGGAGAAATACAAACACCCTTAAAGGAAAAAACCGTTCTGAAATAGGATTTATTTGAAACAAATTTGCTTCCGGTGAATTTGGACATTACCAGTCACGCCTTATGTTGCACAAAGATTTCCCTGACCATTCTTCACACCGTTTCAATCAACGTCCGCACGTAGATGCGTACATATTTATGTACAAATGATCGTCGGTTTGTGTGTTCTGAATGTACAAAAAAGCGAGATAACAAGCGCAAGTGCCAGAGAAACTCTACACACTACGTTGGCATAACATGATTGCTGTAATTCTGCTAATGATTTTGTGCTTCCCTGCTGTGCCTTTTGAGATGCCCTTAGTTATGTTTATGATGCTAAAATATACATACATATGTAAGCATGTGTACATACCAATGTATGAATGAACTGCTACAGCTCTTGAATAATTCTGCCCAGTGTCATGTTTTGTAAATAATCTAGCGTGAACAAACCCCAAAGAAAGGTTACCTGCAGCCATGCCATCTGGTCACGTTTGCTGACCAAATCTAAAATCTCGGTTATCATCTGGACAATTGTGGACGAGCTGCAGCTTTGTTGCGGCGGTCCAAGGGAAACAACGGAATTTACAATTAGTCATTTTGATCTTTTTGTTGCATTATCTGTCTCCTTTCTTTGACACCGCATATGCGTGAAGAATTTCAAACAAATGTTAAAAACTTCATTCATATGATAAGATTCTGGTGTGACCCTACCATTAGCACTTGTTTAAAATCCCTGTCATTACGAANAATTTAAGTATGCTGGTGTGACCCTACCATTAGCACTTGTTTAAAATCCCTGTCATTACGAATCTAACCGCAAGAAGACTCTGAGACAGAATGTTTCTTTACAGGTATCTTCGTATCTTTTCATTATTAAATTAGTTTAGGAACGAAGCGGGAACATTTCTTGAGGAGAAAAAAGGAAATCTGTACCGCATATCGTCATATCCGTTTAACATTTGCAGCTAATTTTTTTAGAGTCAGTCACAGTGAATATCGTTTATAACTAACTCCAAGTGACGGGGAGATTTGTTCGTTACAAGCGACAGATCGTTATAAGCGATATTGTAGTTCTTGTTTCTTTTTTCTTAGTTTAATTTAAAAGCGTTAACAATACTTATTTAGATTTAAATTTTATTAGCAAAACTGCTTAGGAGTTCACAAGGTGTTGTACTATACTGTCGTAAACTTCAAACAGCCAACAATACAGGCATTCGCAAGGTACCAGAAAAGTCTTATTATGAATTTTCAGTGTTAAAAAATAGTTGGTTGTGGTTTCAAGTCCTCTAAACATTTATTTAAGATTTTAAAATTTACGACATACAACAATACGACATTATATAACACCTTGTGAACTCCCCATCTGTAATTTTTTGATGTTTGGTGTTTTGGGGCGTGTGTGAATCGGTAACAAAGTTCTATGGGGAAAGCTGTTGAATAATATTTTTACTATAGTGAGACAGTTTTGCTAATCTGCTGTGTTAAATGAAATATTTTTTGACAACAGTAAATTTTTGATAACCGCAAATTTATGCGGAATAAAATATTTCAAATTGAAGTGAAATTAATATTTTAAGAAAACATCTGCCATCATTGACTGCAATTCATCAATTTAAGCTTTTATTTTTTTTTCAGAATTTTCTATACATTTGTCAAAAATTTCACTAGCCTCATGAGCTACTGAAATTTTATTCACCTCATAGTTGTCAAAAATTTACTCGCCGTGAACTTTAGCTGCATTTTTTTGTAAGCGAGCGACAAAAGAACGCTCAACTCGGGAAAAAATTTAATTTTAGCTACTTAAGCAATCCTGGTGGTAGCTGGCAAGAAACATGTGATTAGTTCAACGGGATTTAGACACAAAAAACAATTGGTAAATTGGTAATTATGCAAGGTATTTGCGTAATATATATATACTTATTTAAAATATAAATCATGTACATACGAAAACAAAAATTTTCCTCTCCACTTTCCCATTAACAATTTGCAATAGAGCAGTTTTTCACTTAACAACACTACTCTTCAGGTCGCGTATTTTTTAACCGACCTGGCTGAACTCGGATAAATAGCCGAGTTTGTGTTGTTGCTTTGCGTGTATTTCGTCATTTAAGCGAGTGTTCTTTTGTAGCTCGGTTGCAAAAGAATGGACCTTTTGTTACCGATTCACACACGCTCTTGAAACAGAAATTTCAAGTTTACGTTCAATTTTCTGAATAGAAGCCAAAGAAATTTCTTCGAATGTTCCGTGCCAGTGATCGGACTTCTACCACATTGTGGTAGATCTACCACTTTTTGGAGCATCCACCACATCTACCACACAAGGTCTGAAATCTACCACAAATTCGTATTTTTGAGCAGTTATAATTTAGCTCCACATGATTTTCTTTATTTTTTTAATTTTAAGAGCCAAAATTGTCCAACACTAAACACTATGTGATAACAAGTAGGGGCACGATATCGAATCGAAAGTATCGATATAGTACTCATTTACAGTATCGATGTAAAAATATCGGGCTGTAAAAATATCGTAATAAAAATACTCGATATTCCAAATATCGATAAAAAATTCAAAAAATTTAATCCGAATATTGGTGTCATTTTCTATTAAAGAATTAACACTTTGCACTTTAATAAGTATGTACATCACTGAAGGCGCGCCACATACCAACCTAAGATAGTTCACATTTCTGCTCTTTAAAGCTCAAAATATATCCATATTGCTTTACATATAAATTCCAAAGTAAGGAAGGTTACAGTACGACATAGATTTGCAAGAATTGGAATGTTTAAAACAAATATTAACAACAAAACTTTCAATAGAAATTTTAGTAAGGACAAATTTTTACATTTTGGAATTTGGAAAATTAACTCTAAATATTTCAAATATTACCAAAAAAAATTTTATACAAATTGTCTTGCTCAATTCCCAGAAATTTAAATTTCGACGTTTTCATTTTATTTTCTAATAATTTGTCATACAAATGTATCATTATTCACATTAACTTTGTCATGTGCATTTAGGATTCGATACGATACAAGGGTTCTGGTACTCGATTCCAAAAACTATCGTTTGAAAACTTACGAGTAAAAAGTATCGGTATCGAATGGCAAAAATATCGAAATTCGTGTCCCTAATAACAAGAATGATAGTATTGTAGTGAATAATTGTAATACGTTTCATATCGTATGAAAACATGGTATTATATCAATGATGTATACGTAGGTATGTAGGTGAGATGGCAACTATGTATTATATTAATTATGTATAATGTAATATGGCAACCATACAATACATGTAATGGAAACCAACTTCCGGTTTTGGGTACTTTTTAAGAAACAGTGTACAACGTGCCTTAAATAAAATCCAACAAAATATAGTAAATCGATATACCTCATTACAATTCAGGTGTGGGGTTCGGGCAACCTAAAATTTTTTGTTGGAAAGCGACTCGTATTTTGACAATTTTTCTAATAAATCAGGAATAATCAGCTGAAATGGCGAATTTATTAACACGCCAACAAGTAATGGACACTATTGCTGCTGCTGGTATCCCATTTGACAAAGAAGCTACATTGGTCCAGTTAAGAGGTTTATACGATGATGTAATCGCTGGTCGTGCCGTGAACAGAAGTGAAGAAACAGATGCAGATGCTCAGCTGAACGTGTACAATAATGTGCCAGAGATTGGTGAAAATAAATTATCAGAAGATGGTGATCGACGTGAACGTGAGAGAATGATTGAAGAGGAGGAGTATCTTGATCGCATGCTGGCAATTGCTAGGAAGAAACGCGAGCTAGCTGAGTTGCAGCAAGAGATTGGTCAAGTGGGCAGTCGCAAGTTTGATTTAAGTATGCTGACAGCATTGATCAATAAATTTGAGGGGTCTGAGTCACAGGATATTAAAAAGTGGGTTGCTGAGCTGGAGAATGTGTTTGAAATCCTTCAGTGTAATGATCGTGAAAAACTGATTGCTGTTCGCCATTTGGTTTGTGGTCACGCAAGACGATTCATTGACATAATTTCGGTGCGCTCATATGAGGACATAAAAGCTGCATTGTTAGATGAGTTTCAATGTAAATTTTCGCTGCAAGATATCTTCAACCAATTAAAATCACGTTGCATCAAATCGGGAGAAACGCCACGCCAGTATGTAACTGAAATGCAATATATTGCTAGTCGAGCCGATATTCCAGAGACCGATTTAGTCGATATTATAATAGAAGGACTAAATGATAAAACGTCTACAGTATCAATGTTGTATGGCGCGTCGTCTATTCGGGAACTTAAAGTGTTGATGGAACGATACGAGAGAAAGAGGAAAACCATAAAAACACAGAAAAGTATTGCGTCAGAAGTCAAGCAAGGTCAGGCTGATATTAACAGTGTGCGCTGCTTCAATTGCTTTCAATATGGTCATTACCAAGATGCATGTACAGCTCCGAGACGACCACCAAATTCGTGTTTCGTATGTGCTGAGGTTGGGCATACTCGCCATAATTGCCCTCGTCGTGGTGGATCAAATAATTCAAAGGTGGCAGCTGCAGTTGGAGATGATGAGGAACCCGAACGATGCCAGTTAGCTGAACGTTTAGCTCCTAATAATTTGGTAAGTATTGCTTTCCATCAAAGGGAGAAGTGCACTGACTTGATTTCTTTCTTGGCTTTGTTTGACACGGGCAGTCCTATCAGTTTCATTAGAAGATCATGTGTGCCCGCAACGGTTGAAGTAAATGTTGATTGGAAACTATCGTGCTACCGTGGAATGGGTAATAAGCGATTGAATGTATGTGGTATTGTTATTTGTAAATTCGTGTTTCGTAGGCATGAATTAATACATACATTTTTTGTTTTGCCAGATTCTGAGGCTGTGGTGCCGTTGTTGGTGGGGCGTGATCTTTTGGGAAGGATGGGAGTTGGTTTGTGTCAGATAGAGACAATTAGATATAAGAAATATGATCTGTTGAAAATGAATGATCAAAATAAAATTTCTATAGCGGACAATGTCATAAGTGCCCTTCGACTTTTTGATATATGTAAATATCCGTCAAGTAATTCTGAGGCTGCTCCAATCATAGGAAAAGAATATATTGTTTTAAAGGGTGTTGAGCCTGAAGTGAATATTCTGTTAGATATGAAGAGTTGCGAGGCTCGTATTATGGCAGGTTTAGATGAGGTTTGTTTGGTGGATTATAATGATTTGTCTAAAAATATTAAAGTGATTCTAGCTGTAAATTTAACTGAGGAGTGTGATGTCGGACATCTAATAAATATCGATATCCAATTGAATAAAGCAGATGCAGATATTATGCGTAACCTTATTAAAACAATGTATGAGACTAGGGGCAAACTGGGGGTTGGTAATTACTCAATGGAAATTAAACTAAAGAATGATACGCCAGTGTACAGTAATCCAAGGAGATTGTCCCTTAAAGAAAAAATGGAGGTTGAAAGAACGATTGATGATTTATTATGGCAAGGAATATACGACCCAGCAGTTCCCCATATGCGTCACCGATAGTACTTGTAAGGAGAAAGGATGGGTCTTTAAGAATGTGTGTAGATTATAGAGCCTTAAATAAGTTGACAATCAGGGATCATTATCCGTTGCCCCTTATTGAAGACTGCTTGGAGTATCTTGGTGGTAAAACATATTTCAGTACTCTAGATTTAAAGAATGGATTTCACCAGGTACCTATGAGTGAAAGTTCAATACCCCTTACTGCGTTTGTGACACCAATGGGTCAATATGAATATTGTTACATGCCGTTTGGATTAACAAATGCACCTCTCGTTTTCCAGCGTTTTATAAATATGATTCTCAGACCACTTGTTGATTCGCGGAAAATTTTAGTTTATTTGGATGATATAAATGTGGCTACCAAAACTTTTGACGAGCATATTAAGATTCTAGCAGAGGTATTACGGTTATTATCAGCTGCTGGGTTGCGTTTGAATTTGTCAAAGTGTAGATTTTCATATAGAGAGTTACAATATTTGGGGTATTGTGTAAATGAGAAGGGTATTCGGCCCAATGAGAGTCATCTGGAAGCAATTAAATCGTATCCAGTGCCAGAAAATACTAAGCAAATACAAAGATGTGTGGGCTTGTTTTCGTATTTTAGGCGTTTTATTCATAATTTTTCTTGTATAGCAAGGCCGCTAATTAAACTTACGTATAAAAATGTGGTATTTAAATGGACAGATGAATGTATGAATGCTTTTGCGTTATTGAAGGAAAAGTTAACTGAGCCTCCAGTGTTATGTATATTCGATCCCAAACGTGATACGGAGTTACATACGGATGCAAGTTCTTATGGATATGGTGCAGTACTGTTGCAAAAACAGGATGATAATAAATATCATCCGGTTGCATATTTTTCAAGGAAAACAACTGAAGCTGAGTCGCGTTACCACAGCTTTGAGTTGGAGACTTTGGCAATCGTAAATGCTTTAAAGCGGTTTCGTACATTTTTGGACGGTATTCCGTTTGTAGTTGTTACGGATTGTAATTCTTTAGTATTGACCTTGGAAAAAAAACTAATTAATCCTCGCATTGCACGTTGGACTCTAGATTTTGCTAATTTTGATTTCGTGGTGAAGCATAGGGGGGGAGGTCAAATGATCCATCTAGATGCTTTAAGTCGGATGTCAGTTGTATGTGTTGTTGAGGAAAATGAAGTTGATGTGAATATTCAAATTTCACAGATGCGGGATGTAAATATTAAACGCCTTAAAGAAAGATTAGAAGTTGTCCCATCCCCCAACTAGTAATCCCAGGATTTTGAGAAGCAATTTTTGTTTCGTAGTATTAGTAGAAAACTTAAGTCAATACAGTTAGTGGATGAAATACATTCATTTTATTTGCGTGTTATTTTTTTTCATTTATTTTCATTATTTTATCATACATTTCAGTATAAAAATATCGGCCTCTCGGCAACACTGAAGTTTACGAGGTCGTTTGTGCATCAAATTAGCCTCGTAAATTTTCGAGGGGCTCGTAAATAGACCTCCATACAAATTTTGACAGTTCTTTTACGAGGCTCGTAAATTTACGAGCTTTAGAGGGTTACGAGGATTTTACGAGTTTAAGGGAAGACCCCTAATGCAAACACACTCGTATGTACATTAGGGCGGGTCGAAAATTTAATTTTTCTCAAATCCTTTGGTAATAGTGAAAATATATTGTACCATGAGGTCAACAACATGCCTGTAAAATATTAATCGTTTATTTTAATTGCAGCCCGCGCATGGACCCCCAAGTGACACAAAGCACATGGTCGAAGACGACGGATTCTTGTTAAAAATTCAAGGTTCAGCAGAAAGAATCTGTAACGCAAACGACAAAGTCAAATATCTTCTCTGGCAGCCCTTTAATATTGGCAACTCTCAAACTTATCTGTTTTTCAACCAAAATGTAATTGTTCTGTTGATAATTGCACTGGTCTTTAGTCAAAAGATGTAAGGAACGGCATTCATATTTCTGTCGTATATATAGGTCACTGATTCAAAATATACTAATCTGTTTTTAACCGACTTCCAAAAAAGGAGGAGGTTATCAGTTCGTCGGAATATTTTTTTTTTTTTTTTTTTTTTTTTT